TCCAGCATGTTCCGCACAAGAGCGAGACGAAATTCTCTGTGTGACAACAGGATGTAACTGTTCAGATCAAGGAGATGGAAAAATAGCTTATTTGTCCATTTCCAGGTTCGACAACAGATGCTATAACTGTTTGCCACAGTTTGCCCACAGCTCCACCTGAATAATTATTCACACTCCTCGTGCCACGCTGGTGTGGTGGTCCCCAGGTTGCCGATGAAGGTGATTAGGTCTCCTTCGAAATAACTTTCTGATTCGCTACCTTCAACATCACGCTCAGAATTGTCGGTACAGGAATCTGTACCAAGTCGTTGATGACCTGAAACATGATAGAATATTCCACACGACACGACGATCAAACTTTGAAGTCTTCCGAATGAAAACTTCCAGGAACGAAGCTCGATTATTGCTCTGTTTATAGGGCAACACAATTTCATAAACAAAGCTACCCTTGAACTGTGAACAGTAATCTTACTGTGTAGCAGTGCGCGTTATACAACACTGAGTTTATTATTTCAATTGCCGACTCTCTTCATTCCTAAAGAACGACGTCATATTACACCGGGAAACTATACACACTATTTCTACAGCGTTGCCATAGCTCTGCCAAGTGATTTCACCCCCCATCCTGCATTCAAACATACAGAGAACTTATGAATTCTTGTAGTGAAATTAAAAAACTGGGGAATTTCTTATTTGGAGCCAGTGTAAAAATCTTAACATGTTTTATACAATCTGTAAATTACAATATCTGATTCCATATTCTTTCGAGAAAAAAACAGCGTTTATCTCGTTCATCACAGAAATTGCAGAAATAGGAGCAAATTTAGTAGATGATTACAGTTTTTATGGCTTTATAATCGCGGGTATTTAAATTCCGTACCGCTGCCCTTACGGGAATTTAAATGCCCATAGGATAAAGGTTAAATGATACTAGGATACTAATTTTAACAACAACTTCATGTAACTAATCTTAATTTTTAATGGTAAAATTCCCTATATAGTGACACAAGTATAGCATAAATGTGAAGTATTTCCCTATAATGCCAGAGAACCTTCTGATGGTGGTCAATGGTGGCCAAAAAACATGTATTTTTATATTAAACTGGTTACAATTGATGGAATTACCGTTCACTCAAATATCAAGCAGTGTGACATTATCGAGATGTCTTTAAGATATGCTGTAAAGGAATTATGAATTTAAAAAGAAATATTTCCACAGTAATCTCTTATAAATGGCCATTCAACATGACCAATTAAAAACTGTTCCATTCTGATTTCCATGCAAGAAGCAAAATCTTGACAGTTCCCTTATGGAAACTTGTTGAGATTATAAGGTTATGTTACATTAAGTCTCTAATTCCAATAAGAAGTAATTACAGAACTTCATAAATACAATAGCAATATATACTTGTTGCCACTTTTTATATATATTTATCGAACAACTGTTCTGCTAACCTGTCACTGAATATGGGTTACTAGTTCAAATACAAATAACTCTACTTATTTTAAAGATATACCATAAGTAGAATAAGTTATACTGCTTAATCATTTATGGTTTATTTCAATAGCTCAGATTATAAAACGAAAAGATAGAGCTATCCCTGTAATGGGCCCACACGGCTGTGACAAGTTTGAGAGGTTGCGGTTCCCATATTTTCTAGATGACCGGCTTATAGAGGGTGGTAGGGTTGTTAGCCTTACATGCCGGCTGCCCTTTACCCCCAGAAAGATTGCCAGTACTCATTTCTGTTAAGAGGACGGGTTGACCCCAAGGCCATAGTGTGGCTAGAATGATTAAGTAAATTGAAAAATCCAATTACCTCATTGAGAATCAAACCCATGACCTTCTGGCCTGTTGCACAGTGCCTTAACCAATCATGCTACCATGTGCCCCCCAGCTCAGATTATACAGCATAATATGATAAAACAATTAACAAAGGAACTGAAAATAATGTGGAAGTAAAAGGACAGATTTCAGATACTGTTCTAGCACTTGGATTTCGATAGACTGAGGGAAACCACGAAAATCCTCAGTTTGGATTGCTAGATTACAACTGGCACTTCCAAAATATAAGTCACAAACATTACCACTTCAGCCAATTTTCTCAGTAAAGTTCGATATCATTTGCCTTAACGTGGACCACATGAATTAATGTACTGCTGTTTTAATATTTGATGTACTAACTCACCGTCTCTATCAGCTTGCGGAATTCAAGTAATGTACTTTTATCCTTGATTTCCCCCGATGCAATCCAGCTCTTGATTTGATCACGTAACCGCTGCAGTTTCTTGATCTCCTTCTTGAGATCGGCCTCATATTTCTCTTTCTGATTGCTGTTTGTTGCATTGTGAACCTTCTGCCAGATGTCTTCAAATGTCTCCACCCCCTCTGTCACTTTCTTAAGACATCGGTCTATTTCACCTGAAATAGCATCAGATTTTAGCAGCTTTGTATGTTCCATTGATTCTCAGTCAATATATCTTCAAGTAATAATACTATTTCTAAATAATGTCAGAAGTTATATATTGCCATCTTAAAAATCTTGTCTGAGGAATATTAACTGCACACAATGATTTATATAACAAAAATCCCAGGACATAATTATGTGAAGAATGCACAACCTGAACATAACACCGAAATGATATAACCTATAACAGATGGCAGAGTTTTGTCACTAAGCATAAATATAACACAATCTAGGCTACAAAACACAACATAAACAACTCCATTAAAACTCACTCTTGTACCAAGTTCGGTCCAAAATGCAATAAGGAGTTATGAAGGCTCACACTGGTGTGTCTAATTATTTTTCAAAATGTTTAACGCTTGTATTATTATTATAAGTACGGTGTACATACGCTTGGAAACATATAAACAGGTCGGTAGGAGGTCATACATTGTGTTCTTCTGACATATTTCCTTACCTTGCAACTTTCTTGTAGCAGCCATGGCTATGTAAACATGTGGTACAATAATTCGTGCATAGTCCAAATGTAGAGATATATAACACAATGCGAATATAAACTTATAATATTTTAGTAAATTTTATACAGCTTAAGCTTTGTTCATAACCAAGATGGCTACCTTCCTTCACGGACAACATCCAACCACGGAATAAATGTCCATCCGCTTTGAGAAACAAACTTAGATGTATATAAATTTCCATTTACTTAAGAATCCAACAAATGGGTTGTTTAAGAAAATAAAAAACTTGGTGTTATGAATTTATACGATTATTATAGGGTACTGGTCATTCAATATTTTATTTATCGAGCGAACTGATTAAACACCTTAAATCCTCCATTATTTTGTCTTCATACGCAAACCAACAACATTGCGCAAACTCGACATAATGAGGAACAACAAATAAATGACAGTCAACAAAATCAGCTGATCAAAATCCCTATTGTATCATGTTTTCATCCACTTCAAACGTCCAATAAGCTAAACATATGGCCAAGATTGTCGCAGTTTAAGAGAATAATACAGTAATAGTAACTCTGGAAGTTATATCTATGCGACTTAGTAGTAATTATACATTTTGTGTTTCAAATGTAGCCGGGAACTCTACAGTTACGAATTTCGATTGTCATTTTCTTTCATCTACTTCTAAAACAGACCACAAGAGCACCTGCAATGTTGTAAACAATATGGCGTTCTAAGGATAAGTTTTTTGAAATTGCATTGAATATTTCTTTATTTGAGAAAGGCTACAAATTTTCTTACAGGCTCCCAAAGCCAGAAGAATGTTACACACAGACAGAATTAGTGGTAACCCCCATTCTGTTAAACCGTATGTGATATTTAACTTGTTTTTAATTATTACCTTAGGTGTTAGAACTGTATTCACTGTAAACAATTCCAGGGTAGTATAATGGTAGTTCGATAGGCGGTCATTTTACAAATTCTGTTTCCGGAATAATGTTCATCCTCCCCGTTTGGAGAGTAAGGCAAGCAAGCAACAGAGCAAGAAAGATGTGCTCTGTTTTCCTCTTGGTTGGTTTGCTGTTTGAAGTTTAAAGTGGTATGCATCCCAGAAGAGAGAACTCTTCATAGTTACTGCTGTGAGAACCTCAAATCTAGCAAAAATATGAGTAACATTAAAGCTAGCTCATGTAACATTAATATATGACTGCTATTGCATTTGCCATACATACGAGTATAATACTAATATATTTGTAGCATATCTTATAGTAATCATATTTTAAATAACAGGAACTAAGAAACAAAGATATTTATTATGATGATAATACTAATAATGGTAATAATTCTACACCTTAACTGCCAGAATTTGTTGCATATGTCGTTCAAGATTCTTATTATCACCTCTTTCATTCCCTTTCACAATCTTAGCCCTGTCAGTAATCTTATGTCTTTTTTTGTATGTGTAGTTATTTAACAATGCTAATGGTAACTTAGGTATATAGCGTTAAGTGACTGGATGACAATGAATAATGATTGGGAAATGATACAGAAGGAATTGGTTGTGGCTTGATCTAAAGTACTATCCCAGAATTTACCTTGAGGAACTGAGAAAGATCACAGAATAACTCAGGATAGTTGATGTGCAAGCTAAGATTCAACTCAGGCTTCTTTCAAATACAAGTCAGAAGTTTTACTGCTTGAGTGAACTTGTCAACAGTTGAACACACAATCAGTACTTGTTTTTATTTTGAATTTGAATGCTACATAATAGATGTAAATTTCTGTGATGGATTTGTTGCCCTAATACAGGTGTAGTGCACAAGCTGTGTCATCACTCTGTCTAAGAAAGAGCAACCAGAAACCTGACCTGCAACTAACTGGCTCTCAGGTGAGAGTTTCTTGTTAGTACTGTTACATTTGTATTGGGGTTGAATTTTCCTGGTTAAAAATCTTACCACTACCATCACAAAATGGGCAGCTGTCTCTAGGGCCTATTTAAATGAATTCCTAATACCTCATTGCTGTCTATCACAACGTTGTGCCTGATGGCTCAGTGCCTCTATCATGTGCTAATACTAGCACAGAGTTGTGGGAAGAGTCTACCCTTTCTTAGTAGCATTCCTGTTCTTATGAACACAACCTTCCTCTGTAGGCTTCTTGCCCCTTAGTAGTTTGCTGCCACCATCTCTCACTCAGCTGACCGCTCTACTGCCCTCTGTAGATAGCCTTTATAAGATAAGAAGAAAGAATTAAGTCACTCTTCTTCTACCAAACTCATGCAGATGATATGGTTAGGTTAGGTTTTTAGAATCTTGGGCTTATAGTTGCTGTTCCCCCCACTAATGGAATCTCTGAGATTGGTGCAATTGTTCAATATTGTCTATAACAATAGAGACTGAGCTCCAACTTAGCAACATGAGCCAGGAGGAATAGGTCATGGAAGGGGTTATGGTAGGTTATGAATTCTCTGAAGGAAAGAAGAAGAAGGTTATCTTTAAAGACTGGAGTGTTGCTTTCCCCTGAGGTGACATTTCTCTGCTGAGCTCTTTGAAAAATAGCTGTCATCACAGTTTCCATTTCCTATCACAAGGAGCCATGAAAAGGACCATCTTTTCTGACAATTCCATTTCCCTCCTTCAATAGAAATATTTGGCCCTGAAAAAAGCTATTTTTCCTTTTCACCATTTCCATTATCTGAGACCGGGTTCAATCTTCTCCCCTCTTCTCTGAATCTCAGTAATCACCTCCCTTCTAACCTGCCTGTTATATATCTCAAGCAGTTCCCACCATATACACTTTTACCGTGAAGGTGAAGGCAGCATGTTCCTCTGAAACACTGGTATCCACTGACTTGAGGGTAGGCAGTTCTTTGATTCATTTCAGCCAAGATAACCCTGCCTACTTGTTTTTTTTTTTTTCAATAATGCAACCACAGCCACAGTTATGAGTCCCCAGCAACCTGAATATTTGATACAGCTTTAAAAGACATGCATAAATTTATCATAGGTAAAAGGCTACATCCCCTCGTTGGTGGCTCCACCTTATCGTGGTGAGGGGGTTTGAGTGTGCCAAAGACCTTGAGAGCTATACCAGCGGTAGCGTAGCTACTGGCAGGGCCTCCCTTGCTGGACAGGTCAAAGGGTAGGCATCAGACGAAGAGAGACACCAAAAACTAATGCCTGAAGCAGCATCATCAGCAGCGACTTGAAACACAGAGCAAATGATGCTCGAGATGGTTCAAGTTCCTATAGCAACAGGCGTGACCAGAGTGGTTTGAACGGCTGTTGTACTGCGATGTGGAAAGCAAATGGAAAAACTACCACATTTTCACTTTTCCTGGATAGTCTCTTTCAAAAACAGAGATACCATGTATGTGAGATTTTTCCTCTGGAGACAAAACAATTTGGAGGTAAACTACTCCCCCAATCGGATCTCCGGGGGGAGTGTTTCTAGAGGAAATGTCATGCAGGCGTTACAACAAGAAAAAGTGCGAAGATCAGAAGGAACATCACGGCTACAAGATTGGAACATGGAATGTAAGGACCTTGAATCAAGCAGGCAAATTTGAGAATTTGAAAACGGAAATGCCGAAGAATGAGGTGTCTGTTTTAGGTGTCAGCGAAGTGTGGTGGAAAGGACAAGGTGAAATAAGAAGTGGTGATTATACAGCGTATTATTCTGGAGGTGAACGGGCTGAAAGAGGTGTGGCAATAGTGGTGCATGAAAGTGTAGTGAGGAGTGTTGTTAAGAAGATTGTTTGTAATGACAGAATTATTGCTCTGAAGTTAAAGTCGGAACCGGTAGATATACTGATTATGCAAGTGTACATGCCAACATCAGAGTATGAAGATGATGAAGTGGAAA